TGTTGGTAATAGTTAAATGTTTGTTTGTTTTTTTGTTTTAAAGTGGGATGTAATATGAAGAGTTTACCATCAAAACATTGATGTAAACTCCAGACAGCTATGTAGCAAAAAGCATTGCCGTGTGGTACAGCAGTAGTTGCTTTACAGCATGGGTAAATGCAAAATGCTTATGGGTGGGAAGAATTTTATTCATAAGTGTTTTGAAATGGGTTTCTGGGTAGAAGGAGGAATTGGACCAGTTTCACTGGACTTGGAATGTATCTATATGTAGTGATTAAGCTTCAAGCCAGTGAGCTCATCTAAAACCAGGACTTACTCAGATTCATAACACTTCCAAAATATTGTGGGTAGGACAGGATGGGTCATTCTCCTGCCTGGATTTTTAATACTTGGTCAGTCTCCTGATGGTAGTTGCTGTTTAATTGATTTTTTGCTACTGAGTTCTTCTAATTCTTCTAATCTGTCTCTATTTAAAAAAAAAAAATCAAATCAAAACAAAACAAACTAGATCTATTAAATTAAGTCATTGTAGTGACATGGATGTTCATTGTTTTAATGCATGTGATAATGGTAAGTCTATGTTAGAATAAATTAAATTCTGAAAATCCACCTACTGAACATCTTTGTAAGAAATTTCACTGTAGTCATTTTTTATGTCTGCATGCATGAGAGTCTTGTGATGCTTTTTCTTTTTTGTAAGATTTTTTTGTTTCTAATTGTTAGATTACTTTTAAGAATGCTTTCTAATGAAGTGTTATCATTATAATTGGAAAATAAATCAAATATGCGATGAGATTACTTAACTGTGAACCCAGGGTACCATCCTACTAATGAAGTTTACAAAAGAAATTTCATCTGAGAAGTTCATTTGAGAGCAACAGGAAAGGAATAGAATCTTAGTGTGTCAGCTCTTAAGCAAACACACGCATCCTCTCCTTTACCTTAGGTGATTCTGGCAAAATAGCCCTTTTCTGTCATAGCTTGCTTCAGAATAGATTTAAGACCTATTTTGCTGGTAGGATTGTCTCTTTTATGAGGGTTTCCCCCAACATAATTTTAATATCTTCATGCTGTCAAATGCAAGGTTATATTTGTCCATTTTTCTGTATGTGTGGCCATCTAAAGATAGAACTTGATGCTAAAACATTGAGGAAGAGGCATTTAAGTGGACTTTTCAGTGATACATAATTCGTCAGTGAAGCATGATCTTATTTGTCCAGTAATTGAAAAATATACAAATGCAGCTGAATTAGTTTCTCTAAAAAGTAAGCATTGTTTAAAAAGAAATGTTACATGTGAGTATGCTACTTTATTATAATGGTTTGTGACCTTTTTAGAATAATGCTTGCTTGTCCCTGCTTTTACTAGTAACCTGAATGTTTTGCAGGAAGTAACTAGCAGAGGGTGATAATTATCTTTGCTGTCAAAAAAACCCCCACCAAAACACATTGAAATTAATGTGAATGTAACTTGAATAAAAAGAAACATGATTGTGTGCAGGTCTGGATTGATGCTGATGGTGGCTTGCAGTTCAGAGTCAATTGTACCGAAGTAGTCCATAAAGGATTAAAAGAGGGTCAAGAGTTTGTTGTATTAAGCATAGTAGAGCTCCCAACAAGAAACACTCCCTGCACAGAGTTCATTTTACTCTTTTGAAGAGAACATGCTTAAAATAAGGAGGGAGCCTCTGGGGGCATATTCTGTTTATTCTGTTTTCTACAGAATAACTATTTCAAAACAGTGACTGAATTTAAATGTCTTAGGTGTAAACAAACTTATAAAGAAAATGAATGACTGTGACAATGCGATAAAATTGAGCAAAGGTAAGAGTAGCCGCAAGCATTCTGCTCAGATTGGGCGTAGGACTGCTGCTGGCCTCCAGGTTCATGTTTCATTCACGCCTCTGAATGAAGAGATAATACTTTCCTGCTTAGCCCAAGTATTTCAAGCATATGGGCAGAAATAAAGAAGACCTAGGGCATCTTTATAAGAAGCAGGAAAATAGACCATCGTGTTGACGCCATCTTGGAGCAAATAAAATAAGTTATTAAAAAAGACGTAAATATATTGATTCTTAAAATGAGAGTAGAAAATCAAGTTATATACAGTAGAAAGTGGGAGCAAGACTTTGAACAGGACATCGATTGTCTAACTTTTTATTAAGTTGAATGGACTTTGGTCCCCTGTGGTGTGACACATAGGGATCAAGAAAGCCGACAGTAAAGAGAACACAACAAAGACAATAAAAACCGTTTTGCAGGTAGCAAAATAACCTTGCTTTTATACAAGGGATAAGCGTAGACTAAATTTACGCGAAAGAAGAGAAAATCAAAAATGATACTGTTGTGGTAATAGAAGCACTGCAGATAAACGGAAGTAAGATAATTTGGGAAGGAGTCAAGGAGTTCAGTTCTAGATGTGTTTAAACTAGCGATGAGTTATGCAAGAAGATCTGAAATGCAGTGAAAGTATCTCAGAGTAGCTGCATCCTTGAAAATAAGCCTCACATCTTGCATTGCCATGCAGAACTCAGAATTATGATTCTATATTATTCAAGTATGTATAAGTACCAAAGTATATGTTGTGCAGGAAATGTTGTCTGTGGAATTAGCAGTTCAGGATGAAAATACATGTTTTGGCGAAGGCCACCAGTATAATTCCCCTATCTACTACCTGCCTTCCCCCTTTTTTGGACACACCCTGTCTAGGGGGCACGTGTGTGAGGAATGACAATAATCCTGCAGGTCCTTACCATATTAGTGGGGTGGAGACCACACTAGAATGTGTGTTATGGGGGCAGAGTGCGTGATGTGACTGCATGTTGAGCAAGTGACAGCGAGTTGTATAACCAAGGGGGCTACAGCACAGGTGGTTCCTGTCTGGCTTTGACTTCTCCATGTGGGCTGCCCCTGTAAAAGGACTTAATTCCTCTTGTTAAAGCTGTGTAGAAGGAGACTTCATGCTGGCAGTGTTTTTTATTCCTTTTTCACCATGAATTTCCAGAGGTAGAACAACAGAGTGTTTCTGGTTCTGTTTTCAGTAATATGATCACACACAGAGTAACCCAAGGTAAGGCTGCACACATTCAGGTCTGCCTTTGTATGTTCATTTTGACCATCTCTTCACCTCAAAACAAAAGTGTAGGAAAACAGTGTGCAGTAATAAGTTTATTCTTTTGTAATGACTGACAAGTATAGCTTGGCCACTTTTTTAAAAGCTGAGAAAAGCACCTGTGCTGGATAAAATGCATATACATTCCAGTTTGTGTTTGTTTGAATGTACCTTGAGAAACTGATGCTGTAGTTACCAGGAGCACAGGAATTACCACCGTGATCTGGAAGAGCATTTTTAAAGCAGCTGTCTAAATTAGGACATACAACGGTCAAAAATAAAAGAAAGTGGAATAATTATCTTTTATGAGTGAAGTCACAATTCAGTAAGCAAAGCAGCAAATTCACTAAAAGCTGCAAAAGATTTCTTAAATACTTATGTAGATGTTTGGGAATTGTGTTGCAGTAGAAAGGAATACAATGTTCAGGTGAGTGTCTACTTGGATTTGCTTTCTTTTATAAGAAAAACATTAAGAAATAAATGTAAAAGCTACTTGACATGCAGAATCACTTAATGTTTGTTGGGTATATACCTGTCCACCTCTAACAGTTTGATTCAGTGCACAGATTTGCTGCAGATAAGAGACACTGCACAGAAACTCACAGTGAACTGAAAGTTTTGGAAAAATACATATAACTGTTGAGGAAAAATAAAACCAACAAAAAATGACATGACCTACAACTGTGGGTTGTTTTTTAAAGGTTTCCAGTGTACAGTCTATTAAATGGAATTAAAGAGAAACCTTATGACTAGGCTTAAGAAAAAAAAAATTCTTATTAAAGTAGCAGGACTATGGATCCAAAGGGTTTATTGGCAGCTGTACTTCCATTTCTTGGGTACAGAGGTTGTAGTAAAGATTGTAGTAAAGACTTTTTTTTTTTTTTTTTTTTTTTTACACTGTACTCATCCCAGTGTTTTGCATGTGCTTTATGTTAATAAATACTCAAGATTATTGCATTTGAATCCTGACTCCACACTCATATTTGTCTATTTAATATATCATAGAACAGTAAGGTTAAGTAAATGCTTTTTGCACTGCAGCAGTAGTCTAATATGTTCTAATATTATTCATTGTTCTTGCGGGTCAGCTGGGATGAAAGTGGTTTCCCACACATGAGTCTTACTCGTGTGGTTGTCATTCTCATCATGCCATAGGAATGCAGTTGTCGTTTGTTTCTTACACTGGTATCTATCACCATAGCATGTGGGTGTCTGAAATCATGATCTCAGAGTGATGCAGGTCTTCAGGTAATGTGCCAATCTCATGGTGGTCTTGGAAAAATACAGCAAGGTATTGAGGTTTGAGCCATGTTATGTATTGTTAAAAATGATTTATAGGCTTAGTTATGGAGATTCAGTGCAAGGAATAGAATACTATGGTGACAGGCTGACACTAAGCTGTACTGCTGAGTAAAAGAGATTTCCACATTCGGAAACCACTTTTTTTTTTTTTTTTTTTTTTTTTTTTTATCTAAGTGACTTAATGTCTAAGGTTTTGCTATTGCGGAATGCTTACTCTCCAAATACAACAGGAGTTGTTTGGGGCTGTTTCCATGCTGAAATACTGGGATTGTTTCTATAGTTATATCATGCACGCTGCTACTGAATTTGTTAGATTCCAGTCCTCTACTAAAAAGAAAAAGTATAACCCAGGAATTTTTCAACAATACTTATTTATTGTTTTTTAATTTCTCTCTGTGGACTATGGAATGATTCTGAGTGACTTTACGTGATTAGACAGCGAACCTGTAAACTAGAAGAAACTAGGTGAAATGAACCTGTCCTTAGGTATTGAAATAATGGTGTTTGCGTGGCTAATCCCAGAAAACTTAAATCTGTTTTCAGTTTTGCTTATTCCTATTCCTCTTATTTTTCTTTTTCTGTCATAGGTCTTGATGTCCTTACATGAAATGTTCCCAGCAGTGCATGCAGCAGAAATGGCTGTCCAGAGAAACCCACGTTCCTGGGATGCCTGGCAGACTTTGGGACGTGCCCAGCTTGGATTGGGAGAGATAGCACTGGTAGGAAAATGGACAACATTGATGTGCTAAACTTGTAAACTACATTCTCTGAATAGTGTGTGAGAGAATGAAAGTACAGAAATACCAAGATAACTGAATATCCATATGTAACCTGAAAGTAAGCAAGGGGAAAGGTTTTTGTTATTTATCTCCAGTATTCCCTCCACTTCATTGTTATTCAGAAATGCTCCCTGTGTGGTTTTGTTGCTGGGCTTTTGGAAGACCTGCTTAGCTCAAAGCCTTTTGTGTTATATTTATGTGGTGGCTTTATGCAATGTAGTAATTATGTAGACATAACAGCACATACTACAGTCTGGATACTGTACTGCTACAGAGAAACTTGCCACAGTTCAGAGATGAGGTACTGTGAACTCCCAGTTGATGTTCAGGCTCAGTTTTATACATACATGCCTGCTAATAAAATTCTATTACCTTGTATTCCCTATTTCCTACGCTGCTGCTTCAGGTGCAGCAAATCATGTGTGCTGGTTCATGCTTCCTTCTTGCTCCTTCACCCCAAATGGAGACTGAAGCTGCTCTTTTTACTTAGTAAGACAGCAAAAAGGCTGGGAAGCTCTGCAGCAGCTGGAGTACATCCTTTCTCTAGCTGCAGTTGAACCCCACGGTGCTGTCTTGGCTCCACCATGTGATGCAAAGGGAGACTCCTCCCTCTGCCTATAGCCTATACCGTTGTAAACAATGTAACATACATAGTATAAAAGTTTTCTGCTAATTAGTGTGGAAACATACTGAGTGAACTTTTTAATTCAGACATGTCTACAAAAGTCCATTAGGAAAGTAATTAATTGTGAGCTCTCAGGTAAAAAAAAAAAAAAAAGATACTGTTTTTATTTTATTTTTAATAGAAGTAGCTGCATGCTGGTTCAATACAAATAATTTTGTTGTTAATCTAGTGTGGCTTTGCAAATTTACAATGTTTGGACTGAAAATTTTCAAGAACGAAAAAATACCCTATGATTTTTTGAGGGAGGCTAACAGGTCACGCAAACCCAGTTTCTTTTTAAAATTTAGTAAGGAGCAGAATTAAAACCAAACCAAACAACCAAAAAAAAAACCCCACAAAGTGATGAGAATAATATAAGAGAAATGCTGTTTGTTACATATGTGTAGTGTGCTACCTTATGTTGGTGCAGTATCATAATACGAAATATTTATTATAAATCCACGCATGTCTGCATCACATCACATAACAGATGGCATTCCATTGCTTTTGCAATGTAGAAGATAAGAGTAGATGGTGTGTCCTGTCTGGATCTACATTATATTAATTTTGTTTTACTTCAGGTGCTTTTTTGGAGCACATTGTCAAGGTTAATCAGAAAGGGATCTAGTTTATGTAGTCTGAGATTATTCCATGGTGCAAACTGAAGCATTTTAGGTGGGAACAATCAGAGATTTGCATCACAGCACATTATTCACCTGAAACAAAACACTACTATGTGTGCTGCTGTAATTGTTATACTGACCTTACAGTCTGTGAAGAGGGAGTTATCACCAGGTAGTTTCCCCTCTGAATGTTTTTGTCTGTCTCTGAGCAGGGAGCTCAGGGGTGGGAAAGCTCCTGGTGGTGTCTCCAGTGCTTCAGTACTGGGCGTTTCTGCCTTTTTGCCTTTCTGTCTTTGAGGCATATTGTTCTCATTGACAAAGAACTTAGGGAGTTAATCTAAAATGCACATAATGTTCACAATTTATTTCTGAACCAAGCAATTTTTAAGCAGTCTTAAAAGGTTAAGATTGGAGGGGTCTTAAAACACTAAACGATTTCATAATTATTGAACCTGAAGAGGCTTCTCGACCAGGTGATCTAAGTCACAAGAAGACTTTTCCCATTATCCTTTCATTACCGTTATTTTTAAATTTTTCACTGCATCATATTTTTGCAAAGAAAAGTTAATAAAGCATAAGTTTCAGGGTTTTTTAGTCATGTCTGATATTTGGGAATTACCACTCTTCTCAGGAGCAGCTTCTTCTGTTTCTTTGTTTCGTTTCTCCTCCACCAATGTCTGTTTTCGCTACCCACATCCTGCCAAACAGTCTGCTGTAAATATTTTTATTACTTCACAATGAATGATGCACTTTTTCTTAGGAAAAACTAATTTGCTCTGTTTTGATTTCAAGTTTCCCAGGTCGAAAATACAGCTTTGAAACAAATATAATTTCTACTATGAGCTGCATAATCTATTAATTTATTGCAAAGAAAGAAAGATGTTTTAGTTTGGTTTTGTTGAACTTGTGACACAAAGGGTGAGATAAATTAACCACTTTTTATTTAGCTGTTACGAAGTCTGTTTGCTTTCTTTTTCTGAATTTACTACATAGGGTAATTCAACTGTAATACTTAAATGTGAGGAGGCAGAACTTTATTTCTGTAAAGGCAGAAATTCCTTATACTCTATGTATCAATTTTCAGTAGTACAACTGAGTAAACTTTGCAATGTGAATGTAGGAACTGTAGAAATGTAATGGAGCTTGCAATATTTCTCTCATATAATTGTAAATATTTGTTTTTACAAATGATGATTACTGCATTGGTGATGACAACTGATGCAGTAACAGTTTCATATTGATATCTTCATTAAAGCAGTTTTTTCCCATGAGACAGAGTAAGACCCATGCTTTCATTAAATAAAAAAGCAAAACAAAAGTAGCATTAAAAAAAAGAAAAAAAAAAGATCAGCGGAAAGTGACTGAGTCTTGCACCTTGAAGAAATTCATAAGCCATCAGGACATGGTCATGGGCAACCAGCTCTGGGTGTCACTTTTTTCATGCATGGGAATGTCTTCAACTCAGAGGTTATTTATATTTTCCGCCAAGAAAGCAGAAGGTCAAGCAAGTCTCCAAAAGTTAAAATGACCTACATTTCTAGCAGGAGTACTCAGTTGTTGCAAGCATTCCCCACTGACTTAGCTGGTGCCTTCTGTTAGTTACTCATCAGATGCTCAGAACTTTTGAGACTTTAACCATGCTGAGAAAGTCTTTCTCAACATTTAGACCTTGTAATTAAAAGCATTAGCTAAAACAGATGCAGAGTACAAACTGGGACTGGGGAGAAAGTTGCTTTACCATTTTTAAAAAATTCCTGTAATAATTTTAGCAGTATAATTTGGAAATAGGTAAATGTTTTCCATCTTCCAGGACTTTCCTGATTTAGAAGTCACTTCAGGTTTTATTTTCTTGGGCTAAATATGTGAATTTCTAGGATGGCATAGATTTCTTTTTTTGGTTGCTGTTCCCTCAACCATCCAGAATTATGTCCATGCATGTAGTGGAGCCATAGCATAGAGATCTTTATGGTGGAGGCATCATGAAGCAGTGACTTCTGCAGAGCACGGTGCAGTGCCTTGCAGGGATGCTCACTGAGGTGTAAAGTCAGACAGGCAGGAAGCACTGGGAGGAAAGAGGGCTGGGAAGGAGCGAGTTTGTGCAAAATGAAATCTAGGAAATGGGAGTAACTCACCAAAAGGAAGGGGAAGAAGGAAGTACCTCACTGGGAAGTGAGGAAGAGGCTCCTTGAAGAGAAACTTGAAATCGGCACAGTGGCTGATGGGAAGTTTTCTGAAACTTGAGTCTGTACAGGAATGTGTGTCTGGGCCCAAAGAAACTGAGGAGATCTTTTTCTATCAGTTGCCACAGGCCATTAAATTCCTGTTCTCTTCTTATACCTCTGAGCTTAGGCACGTGTCCTCTGGCCTCTTGTGCTACCCATCAGGCACTGCGGTCCACGGAAGACCTGTGCTGTGAGTCACCCCTGAGGATGATGCATCTTCATCCACACTGCATAAATCTCCAGCACAGGAGAATTAAGCTAGCATCATGTCACAGACACATACCAAATAGAAACAAAGACTTTTTAGGGTTTATAACTTGACCAAATTCCAATAGTTGTAAGGCAAATCACAAGGCAGAGGTGATGTCTTTCACACAGGGGAAATTTGCCTCCTCTATTTCAAGTCTTTTCTATAAAACGTGAGAGCACCAGAACCTTTGACTAAAATGGTTTTATAAATGTAAGAACTGCAAAATATTAATTGTTCCGCCCATTCTTGAAGATGGAAGAATTACTTTTGCTGAAATTTCCAGAGAGAAAATTTTTATTGAAAAAAAGAAATAATCTGAAAGGTTGTATAGAAAAGTTCAGCCTAACAGTTTGTAGTTAAAATAGACATTTACCATTCAGATTATATCATATATAATTATTAGAGTGAACATATCTGAAATAATTGGTTTTAATATTTTGTTTAAAGCAGACAACTGTAATGAGATGTCTTTAAATATACTAAAATTTCATGAGTGTTTCAGTGCTAAAGGTTTCTGTAAAAATTATTTATTTATTGTCATGTGAGTAGTGCAAGAAAGAAGACTTAAATTCCAATAAAATATTATAGCATCATGGAATAGTTTAGGTAGGAAGGGACTTTAAGAATCATCTAGTTCCAACCCCCCTGCAATAAGCAGGTTTGCATTCCTCTAGATCAGGTTGCTGAAAGCCGTCTAATTGGATCATGAATGTTTCCAGGAATGGGGCATCTACAACCTCTCTGGGCAACCTGTTCCAGTGTCTCACTACCCTCATCATAAAAAAATTCTTCCTTATGTCTAGTCTAAATCTGCCCTCTTTTAGTCTAAAACCATTACCCTTTTCCTATTGCAACAGCCTCTGCTAAAAAGTCTGTCCTCATCCTTCTTATAAGTTCCCTTTAAGTACTGAAAGATCTTAAGATCTCTCTGGAGCCTTCCCTTTTCCAGGCTTTCTCAGCCTGTTCTCATAGGAGAGGTGCTCCAGTCCTCTGATCCTCTTCGTGGCCCTCCTCTGGTCCTATTCCAACAGGTCCATGTCCCTCCTGTGCTGAAGACTCCAGAGCTGGATGCAGTACTCAAGGTGGGGTGCGACCAGAGTGGAGTAGAGAGGTAGAATCGCCTTCCTTAACCTGCTGGCCACACTTGTTTTGATGCAGCTCAAGATGCAGTTGGCTTTCTGGGCTGCCAGCACACATTAATAGCTCAGGTTGAGCTTCTCATCCACCAAGGGCCCCCAGTTCTTCTTCTCTGTGCTGCTCTTAATCCATTCTCTTCCCACCCTGTATTTGTGCCAGGGATTGCCATGACCCACGTGCAGGACCTTGCACTTGGCCTGCTTGAACTTCATAAGGTTTGCACAGGCCCACCTCTCCAGTCTGTCCAGATTCCTCTGAATGGCATCCCTTCCCTGCAGTGTGTTGACCGTGCCACACAGCTTGGTGTCATTGGCAAACTTGCCTGAGTGTGCACTCAATCCCGCTGTCGATGTCTCCAACAAAGATGTTAAACAGCACCGGTTCCAGTACTGATCCCTGAGGAACGCCACTCGTCACTGGCTTCCACCTGGACATTGAGCTGTTGACCGCAACCCTTAGAGTGTGGCCATCCAGCCAGTTCCTGGTTCACCAAGTGGTCCATCCATCAAATCCATGACTTTCCAATTTAGGGACCAGGATGTCACGTGGGACCATGTCAAACGCTTTGCATAAGTCCAGGTAGATGACACTTGTTGCTCTCCCCTTACCTACCAATGCTGTGGCAACATCATAGAAGGCCACCAGATTTCTTCAGGCATGACTTGCCCTTTGTGAAGCCTTTTTGGCTGTCACAAATCATGTCCTTATTTTTCACATGCCTTAGCAGAGATTCCAGGAGGATCTGCTTCATGATCCTGCTGGGCACAGAGGTGAGACTGACCAGCCTGTAGTTCTCCGGCTCTTCCTTTTTTCCTTTTTTGAAAATGGGGGTTATGTTTCCGCTTTTCCAGTCAGTGGGAACTTCACCAGACTGCTACAACTTTTCAAATATTGTGGAAAGCAGCTTAGCAACTTCATCTGCCAGCTCCCTCAGGACCTGTGGATGGATTTCATCAGGTCCCATGGACTTATGCACCTTCAGGTTCCTTAGAAGGTTTTGAACGTGCTCTTCTTCTGTAGTGGGTGGTTCTTCATTCTCATAGACCCTGTTTTTGCCTGGTCCTTCAACTTGGGAGGTGTGAGGAGAAGGGCTGACAGCGAAGACAGACAAAAAAGTTGTTGAGAACCTCAGCAACTGGTCACAACCTTGTCTGTTGTTACCAGTAAAAATCCCGTAGTCCTTACGTTCAGGGTCTCTAAAACCACAACTGCCCATTAAAATGATGCTAGAAATACAAGTTTATCTAGTGCCACCACATTTTCCTGTAATGCCAGACAGGCAGTTGGAAAAGAAGACTTGTATATCCATCAGTGGGAGAATTAAAAGTAGCACTGTTATTTTCTTCTGTCTAATATTAATGGCTGTGGAAGCAGTTACAGTGGCAATATGAAATTTTATGTGGATGACAATTCTGTATTTTTCAGTATTACATTGCTGCTTTAAAATGAATCCCTCTGATATTTTACAGCACTTAAAATTGACTTTATTATTGTATTATTATTATTTTATGATTTATTTATAAAACTGTCACATACAGAATCTTTTTTTTTAATAGATTTACAAAGATGATCGTTTTATGCTGTATTGTATGAATCATCTGGGCAGCTTCTAAGCTTATTAAATTTGACCTTGTATTTGATTATTGTATTTAATGTTGTTTATTGTGCATGACCATGGCTATATAGACAGGTTTAGTTAGGGTGCCTCTTTCATGGAAAGCTTTAAAGCAGATAGTGTTTGTTTATATTTTCGTTTTCAACAGAAATACAAAAAAACCCAAGAGCATTTAGTGCTTATTTATATCTAATCTAGCCCTGGAAGTGAAAAGCTAGCAAAGTTGCTTAGAACAATGCTGTTTTGCAAGAATTAAACTGCACTCCTGTTTAAAGTTCGGCATGCTCCTACACTTCAGAGCTGGCTGTGGACCAATAATAAAGTATTGTGATTTTTTTTCCTGGAACTGAAAGGCTGCCTATTACAACAGCAGTAATACTGATAGCATAATCAGCATTTCCTAAATCTGATTTGTATCTCCTGTCTGCTGCGTTCACGTCAGAGTCCATATATTAATCTGTGCCAGTAGGAGAATGAATTGGCAGTTTCTGCCAATGCAGATGAAATGTTGTGATTTTTCAAATGAATTTGTACAGTGTAAGTATTTATAAATTACAATAGAATATGGAATTTGATGGTATATATGCACGTTGCTAGACCTCTTCCCAAATATAACCCAAATCCATATCATCGCTGTTTTCCCACCCTACAGGAAGGCTTCTGTATGTCGTCACACAAGAGTTTGGTCATTCAGGTGGCCACTTCCATAACTGACCATACAGTCATAAAAGTGAAATACATACGTGCCTCTCTGTATGTACACATAAGTCTGAGTAGGTAAGGTCAGTCTTGACCTTTTCAGAGTTGATGTAATACCATACAGTTGTAATTCTTGGTCTAGCATTTTTCCAGTATTTTTGCGATCTCTTCTTACTGCCAATTATTATATCTGCTGGATTAGATGGTCGCCTTTTTTTATATTTAACAGCTTCTGTGTTGAGTATTCGTATTTGTGGGACTTTTCCCAATTGAGATGAAAGACAGGAGAAACAATATCAATTATGCTTACTTGTATTAATATTACATAATTTATAAGATTATTGGAGTTCTTAGTTAGAGCAACTCCAATTTGGGAGTTTGTCTACTTTTACCTGTTTAGGTAAGTGCATTTGCAACCACAAACATGTTACAGAAATTGCTTATCATGGGGCTACGATTGCTGTAGTATTAGGTCTGGTTGTGAAATGACTTTATGCTAGTTTAAAAGCAGTAATATTAGTGATACTTCAAATCCCAGTCATCCCTTTTCTGTAGATCTTTAAACCATACTTGTCTGCTTTTGCCTTCCCATACATCTGATGATAGGAGAAAAGTGGGATAGAAAACCATCAAAACAAAAATTATTTTTGCTTTTACCTTTATATATATATATATATTTAGGTATGTTTGTGCACGGTAATTAGGGGTTGATGCTGCTGTTGAACTTACATCTGAGGGAGGATTGTTCTACTAAAACCAGACTGGAGTGAGGTCACTTTTGTCTTTGCTTGAATGATGTATGTCATTATTTTTTGTTGTTGTTAATTTCTAAGATGAAATATGGAGGCTTTAAAGTTTCTAATCCTTGTTTCTTTCCTGTTTATAGGCAATCCGAAGTTTCCAGGTGTCCTTACACATCTTTCCAATGAACCCTGAAGTATGGAAAGAGGACCTTTCCTGGGCAAGAAAACTGCATGAACAGCAGAAGGCAACAAAGACTGAGGCAGTGCAAGCCCTGGTAAATGAAAAAGAGCTCGCACAAGAATTGATCCCAGACTATGACTTTGAAAGTGATGAAATTGTGGCAGTCTGTGCTGCCATTGCAGAGAAGGAGAAGGCTCTTCCAGCAGCTAAAACAGTAGTGATTGTGTCTGCCTCAGGCACGGTGGAGACTGTTACTGAGAAGGAGAATTGTCCTACAACTCCTGATGAAACCCTTTTCATCAGAGCCCGGTAGGGCGGCCGTAGGGGTTGCCACGGTTTTAAGAACTGGTGTTATTTATTGTATTTGGCTTGCTTTGGTTTTGTTTTATAAGCAGTGGGAGGGCCAACAAAATCTGAAGAATTGGAAGTTCCATCCATATTTTTGGAGAAGAATGCCAAGAGTTGATTCTAAAAATCTTATGTACAAATGTAATGTTAAAATGCATAACTACATTCTTACAACTGCTGTCATCTTTATGTATTTCATAATTTTACAAGTTAATGTCTACATTTTCCCAGTAATTAATAAGCTTTTGTTCACACTGTAAAAGATAAAGTTTGGGGTTTTTTTAAATCTATTTCAATCCTTATTCAATAGCATTGTTTATCTTCCAGTTAAAGTGTGAACTGTTGTCTGTTATCAGAAGTCTTTGTTTTCATCAAGATTGCTTTTTTTATGAGGAAGTTTCCTGTAAAGCAGAGACGGATTTTTATTTTGCTTGTGTGTGTGCTAGATCTGGTATCTGATTTGAGTCAAATGAAATCAGTAGAAAGCTGTATGTTGTTTTCATGGGTGAAGGGGTTAAACACTTTCTGATTACATGAAAGGAAATGCTAAACCAAACACCACTGAATGCTTAGTTATTACTAAATGCTTTACCAGAAGAAAGAACATTCAGCTGAGACTGAAACTTATCTTGAGTGTTGTGCTACAGTCATCACCAGAAGTCAAATCATGGGAGTTGGAGTTAGGTGTATCTCAGTGTATTACGTTTAACTTTTTCTCTTCTAGTGTGGTTAATCTGATAAAGTCAATCTGTTTTTCCTAATTCTTATGACCTGCCATTTAAAATGTGCTTTTAGTGGACCGGTTTTTCAGGGCAGCATTGCCCGATTCTCCCTTTTTATCCTTTTTGGATTTTGGATGCTGTGGTGGGTGTTCACGTTGTGTTAACTTGGGAGTAGATTTGTTGAAGGTTCATCTTTCCTTAGGGGAAGGTGGCTGTAGGTCCTGACATGGGCAGTTCAGTGAAATGAAGTCAGGCTGTTTTTTTGGTGTGCTCTGTACTGAGCACTCTGTACTCTTTTCACTCTCTTGGAGACACGGTAGAGATGGTCACCTCCTAACTGGACTGGAAGAAATGGCCAGCTGATTCGGGATTTGGAACACATCATGTCTACTTGATTTTGATAGTATTTAGAATTATCAAAACATTTGAATAATAGTTTTGTAAACAAGTGAAACCTTTTGAAATCAGTCATCTTCATTTTTCTTACCTATTTTCAAAATAACAATTTGAAAAGAAAATAATAATGCTTGAGAAGCATAGTGATTTTTGCAATATAAACAGTATTGTAGAAAAATTATTTATCCCAGATCATACTTTCAGTTGAATGTCTTTATTTAAGACGACACTTATAGTCTTTGTAGAAATTAATTATCCCTTCCAAAAACTTAAGTGCAGTGTTGTTGTACTTACTAAGTTGTCATTAGTTTTTTTTAAGATTCCCGAAATGTATTTTTATATGTATGTGAATTTTTAGGTCTGTGCTTGCACGTGCACACACAAAAAATTTACATTTTTCAACATGTCCTGAGTATTCAAAATGACTATAATTACAGCAACTAAAATATATTAAGAAATATAAAACATTCCCCTGCTACATTTTTATGTACATTTTCATTGAATTCAGAAATAGATCTTAAATGCTTACAGAATAGGCATTTGGTTAAGGCATGGCTGTTTAAATTGTCTCAGCTGAGGAGTATCTTAATCTTGTTTTTCCTAACAACCAATACAATCTATTCAGCCATAGGAAGACTTAATATGAGAAGGATTTAAACAGATTTCTTCAAAGAAGCAAGGTTCTCTGGCTGGAAGAGGGGGGATGTGTGAGAAGCTGTGGGTTATGTTCTCGTTTTGAAGGAGCTCAGCTACAATCCAACACACCTTTTCTTTCTCCGTGCCAGCGTAACGCATTTACTCATACAGGAAGGGCTGCCTCCCTCCTGCCGGGGAGCCCTGTTATCACGGAATCTGTTTCCACTGAAATGATTCACAGAATTCCTGTTGACTGCTGGGCCCAGCGAGCGGAGGGGTGTGCAGCTACACCGTCAGGCAGAACAGCCGTGCCAGGTTTGAGGGGTGGCTGTTTCCATCCCAGCTACAACATGTGCTCTTCTGGTTAATTCGGGTTATGAATTCTAGGTGGTGTAGGGGCTGTAGTGGTCTTGTAGAGCACTGTAGAGGAGGAGGTAAGTTTTCGTGACACTGTTATTCTCAAACTGGGAAGAAGTTCAAATAGTGATGATTTCAACGTTGGGTTTTGTGCAGCATGCCATGTTTTGCATGTATGGAGTTTTTTTTTGGATCTCTGAATAAAATACTGACTTCTGTGCTGCTTAGTGATGTGTGTTCGTTCTTCTGGTTATAACAAGAATAAGAGTTACCATTGACCATTTTAGAATGTTATTCATTTAACCAGTTGGCTTCTTCTGTCTCTGCTGAACATGGTAATGTGCGATAGTTAAAAAAAAAAAAGATATCTCAGGAACAATGTTTAATAGAAGGTGCTCAGTGCTTTGAAACCGCTCAGAGGTATCCAAATGAGAGACCTGAAGAAGAAAACCTTTGTTATCAAAAATAGGATATCTGTGAAGCACACTCCCACTTAGCCAGCAGGAATTTATTTTTATTGTTCTTCATCATCACTAGTGTAGTAGCTTCCATGTGTTTTCCTTCCATATGAATTATATATTAAAATGTTGAAGAGTTGCAATGTTATTAATGAGGAAATCTCAACAACAACAGTAGGTTAGTTGGATTAATTTTGCTTAATTTAAAATCTACAATTGTACTTTTAAATATAATTTTTCCCTTTGAATCCCTTTATATGCAATGGAAAGAAATACACAGCCTCAGAGAGCCATTCATATGCCTTGTGTTAGATAAGTATCTTAGAGGGAGTTGAATCAGCCTCCCAAGGTGCCTAATTATTTCCATTGACTACAAAGGAAGCTGAAGGTGACTGACTGGCAGTTTACTTCAAATGCTGAACCAGGGCTGATGAACGCCATGCTTATAGATGGAGATAAGCATCTTAAAAAAACTAAACATAGATTATACTGAGAGAGAGTAAGTCCTTTCTGACAACACTAGAGGGTAAAAAAAGTATGGATTAGACAACACAACAGTAACTCTAATTTAATAATTGGATTGGATTTTAAAAGTAGTTATGGAGGGGGAAAAAAGCAAATGTTACAATCTATTCTACTATTCTAGTTCCTGAAAGTTGTCTTTGAGTATCTGGTGGTGTTGGGGATCAAGATGAGAGAGGTAGCATTGGAAACTTACTGGCCATACAAGGTAAGCACTCCTCAGATCCTCAAACCAAGGGGAAGGAGGTAAAAACTGAAGTTGAGGGCAGGTGCTCTCTTAGTTTATTTTGAGGTCATATAATAGCTATAAAACTATAATTAGGGTAGCTAGGACTGGGGCACAGGAAAGCAGAAGCATGTGGGCTTGGTTTATTGGCAGGTTGCAGACAGCCTGTGTTTATCGGAGGTCAGTATCACGTTAACATCATGTTCCCAAATGGACTGGGGTCCTTGGCCTGTGGTATCTCCAGGGAGGGCTACTCTAGAAATGGGAGGACTTCATGAGCATAGTTGATTGCTGGATCCTGCCAAGTGTGCTGGCCTGGTTTTGAGGCCTGATTTTCTAAAAGTTTCAACACCAGGAGCTCCAAGGGTTGTAGAGGGTAAATGATCAAAGGGAAAGACTAGAGGTGGGCAGTGAGTTGACTATTTGGGTTCACGAACCAGGTGATTTAGACTTCAGTTGGTTTCCAGAACCAGTAAAGGTGGTGGGTCTAGAACAAGGCCAAGGAGTGGAAAGATCTGGTATTTAGTAGCTCTAACAGTAAATTTGCCTGAAGTATAATCATATCATAGAATGGTTTGTGTTGGGACACTTAAGGACAACCAAGTTCCGACCCTCCTGCCATGAGCACTAACAGTTCTATTAGATCAGGTTGCTCAAAGGCCCATCAAGCCTGGTTTTGAACACATCCAGGAATGAGGCATCCACAGCTTCCATGGGCAACCTCTTCCAATGCCTCATCTCCCTCACAGTAAATAATTTCTTCCTAGTATCTAATCTAAATCTGTCCTCTTCCAGTTTAAAACTGTTACTCCTTGTCCTATCACAACATCACCTTGTAAAAAGTTCCTCTCCAGCTTTCTTGTAGGCCCCTGAAAGGCAGGTACTGGAAGACTACTATAAGGTCTTCCTGCAGCCTCTCTTCTTAAGGCTGAACAACCCCAGCTCTCTCAGCCTGTCCTCATAGGAGAGGTGCTCCAGCCTTCTGATCATCTTCATGGCCCTCTGCTGGACTCTCTTCAACAGGTCCATGTCCTTCTTATGTTGGGGACTCCACAGATGGACACAGTACTCCAGGTGGGGTCTCACCAGAGCAGAGTAGAGGGGCAGAATCACCTCCTTCGACCTGCTGGCCACCCTTCTTCTGATGCAGCCCAGGATGCGGTTGGCCTTCTGGCCTGCCAGCGCGCACTGCCGGCTCATGTTGAGCTTCTCATCTACCAACACCCCCAAGTCCTTCTCCTCAGGTTTGTTCTCAATTCATTCTCCTCCCAGCCTGTATCTGTGCTTGGGATTGCTGTGACCCAGGTGGAGGACACTGCATTTGGCCTGCTTGAGCTTCATGAGGTTTGCACAGGCCCACCTCTCCAGCCTGTCCAGGTCCCTCTGGATGGCATCCCTTCCCTGCAGTGTGTTGACCGTGCCACACACTTGGTGTCATTGGCAAACTTGCTGAGGGTGCAGTCAGTCCCACTGCGCATAGAGATCTTTATGGTGGAGGCATCATGAAGCAGTGACTTCTGCAGAGCACGGTGCAGTGCCTTGCAGGGATGCTCACTGAGGTGTAAAGTCAGACAGGCAGGAAGCACTGGGAGGAAAGAGGGCTGGGAAGGAGCGAGTTTGTGCAAAATGAAATCTAGGAAATGGGAGTAACTCACCAAAAGGAAG